TTTAAAGAGTCAATTTCTAGTTTTATTGATTTTTGTGCTTTGTATTTAATTGAGATCTGTTCTAACCTGTAGTATTTCCTTTCTGTTTTCAGTTTGGTTTCTTCTTTTGTTAGTTTCTTTGGGTAGAAACTCAGGTTATTGATTCAACACTTCTTTTCCGCTATAGGTGTTTAATACTATAAATTTCTTTCTAAACACTGCTTTAGGCATATCCCATAAATTCTGATATACTATTTTTTAAATTTTCATTCATTTCAAAGTACTTTCTAATTTTCCTCCCAATTTACTCTGACTCGTGTTATTCAGATGTCTGTCATTCAATTTCCAAATATTTGTGGATGTCTCAGGTATATTCCATTGTGGTTAGAGGATGTATTTTATGTTACTACAGTCTTGTTATTTTTATTGATATTTATTTTGTGGCTGAGTACATTGTCTATCATGGAGAATGCTCCATGTGCTATTGAAAAGAATGTGTATTTTGTAGTCATCGAGTGGAGTGTTCTATATACGTCACTTAAGTTGATTGCGTTGTTCAAGTCTTCTATAACCTTGCTGATTTTCTTTCCTTTTTTCTGTCAATTCTGGACAGTAGGGAATTAAAATTTCCAACTGTTATTGTTGAGTTGTCTATTTGTCCTTTCATTTCTGTCAGATTTTGCTTCATGTATTTTGAAGCTCTGTTATTATGTTTGTATGCATTTATAATTTTTATCTTTCTGATGTATTGACATTTTATCATTTGGTATGTCCCTCTTTGCCTCCAGCAATATTTCTTGTTTTAAAATCTACATTCTCAAGTATCAATACAACCCCTCCAGCAGTCTTTGTGTTACTATTTGCATGATGTATCTTTTCCATCCTCCTACTTTCAATCTATGTGTCTTTGAATCTAGCGTGTGTCTTTTTAGATTGCATATAGTTGGGTCTTGCTTTATTATACATTTTGCCAATCTCTATCTTCTAATTGGATTGTTTAGACCATCTGCACAATGCAGTTATTGATAGGGTCAGAGTTACATCTGCCATTTTGCTATTTGTTTTCTATGTCTTCAGTCTTCTTTGTTCCTCTGTTCTTCCTTCACTAACTTCTTTTGTGTTAAATAAATCTTTCAGTATATCGTTTTAATTCCTCTATTGATTATTTTTACTATATTTTTGAGCTATTTTCCTAATGTCTGCTCTAGGGATTCCAATATGAATCTTAACTTATTTCAGTCTATTTCAAGTTAATATGAACTTAATTTTCATGAAATATAGAATATTTTCTCCAATATAACTCTAATCCTTTCCCTCTTGTGCTATTATTTTTATTTATATTGCATCCATACCTTATGAAACCAATAATAGTGTTATAATTATTTCTTTAAACAATCTCCTGTCTTTTAAAGAATTTAACAGAAGACATGAAAAAAATATATTTATAGATTCTTTTATTTTTAACCCAGATATTTATTACTTCTGGCTCTCTTCATTTCTTCCAGTTGATTTGACCTACTGTCTGGTGTCATTTTCTTCTAGCCCAAAGAATTTCCTTTAGTAGTTCTCACAAATTTGTTATGACATCAAGGAACTCTCCCAGTCTTTTTAAATTTAGGAATTCTTTATTTTACCTTTATAATTGGTGGATAGTTTTTCTGCATAAAAGTTTTTCATTAGCAGTTTTTTCTTTCAGTATTTTGAATATGTCATTCCACTGTCTTCTATGGTTCACTTTCTCTGATGATATTATTATCATTAGATATTATTTGTATTGATGCTTTCCCGTACATATTGTTTTTCTATTGCTTCTTTTAAGATTTCCCCTTTGTGTGTGGCTTTCAACATTTGGACCATGATGTGTCTAGGTATAAATCTCTTTGTGCTTATCCTACTTAGGACTCATTAAGCTTCTTGGATGTGTAAATTAATATTTTTCATAAAATTTTGGAAGTTTGGGGCCACTATTTCTTCCAAAAATTCCAATAACTATTGGATCCACAATTTGAGGAGCTATATTAGACAAAATTTGGGACATTCACTGGGAAAGTCTGGGAACCTGGAAATTGGAATGAGTACATGTCTTCGGATTCATTTACAGCCTGAACTCATCAGGCGCAATGAGTCCCTCTTGATCTCATAAGCAGTTGTTTCTCCCCGTTTGAGGCTGTTCCGGCACTGCTGGTACTCAACTATAGGATGAATCTCAAAATCATTATCCTGAGTGGGAAAAAATAAAGCCACACAAAAGAGTACACACTGTATGACTCCTTTTGCATGAAACTCCAGAAAGGACAAAACTAATCTATAATGGTAGAAATCAAGAAGGACAGTTCCCAGATGGAGGTGTCTGGACAGTTTAAAAAGTGATCCAATATATTTGGCTCTCAGTAGATGGAGATTACCTCAAGTACTCTTCCAGGTAAGACTTAAATACAAGAATATCTTCAAGTGGGCAATTATGCTCCTGAATCTTTTATAAAATTATCAGAATCCATATAAGGATGGATGCCAGGTAAATACATCTTCTCTCCTAATCCCTGCTAGGATGGATTCAGTGTGAGGTCAAGATCAAGGTGAAGAAATTGTATTCCTTCACTTAGGTTGGTTTACCAAGCATCCAGGAAGCCCAAAGTTATTATCAGAGGAGAAGGATATGGTCAAACACCACAACTGGTTGCTGTTGCTCAGAACAGATACTCTCTGCTCTGTACACCTTGCCTGGCAAATTGAGCCTGTGAAGTTTACTAGGCAATTCAGGTTCATTGTACCTGGCACACTCTCTGCAATTTTAAGGCCCTCAAGGTTTACTAAAAGTCACTGCTTGTGCTGAACTGAGAAAAAGAAGTGAAGATTAACTGACTTCTGACAGTGACTCTCTCACTTTTCTCTCTCTCCAAATCCTGAGGGGTGATCCCAGTATAACTCACCCCTGAAAGAGGATGCACACTCTCTTCAGGGCCTGCCTGTACAACCTGCCTTACTGACTCCAGGCCCATAATGTTAATAAAAAAACAACTATGCTCAGAGGACAAGCAAAGTCTAATCCAGAAATATAAAAACAAAATACAAAAGGAACTTAAGATTTTGCTCAATAGTACAAGTAGAAACTAGGTAGCATCCTTAGGAAATTAGACCAGGAAGAATGAACTACTATGTTTTGGATAGGGCCAAATTTATTAGTATGATTATACTCCATGAACTTAGGAGCAGCCCATGGCGCATTTCATACCAATGAAATATGTTATTTCTCTAATGGGATCCTGAAAAATAGTTTTCTAAATTCTCAGAGTATTTCTGAGGTATAGACATTTTTTGTGGTGACCTGAAGGGATCTGTGGTGGTGTCTCTTTGATCATGAAGTTTTAATAAATGGGCACCCTACTAAGATGCTTCTTGAGACATCTATCTATCTATCTATGAAATTCTAGGTCTCCTGGCAGAGAACTAACACAAGTCACAATAACAGGGATTCATATCTTCTTTCCCTGTCCTTTATATATCCTACTTTATAGACAAGAGGCTTCAGCTGAAGAGGAGGCTAGGTCCCTTTGACAAAATTCTTCATAATTTAGTCACAAGTATATATAATTAATCAACCCTCAAAAGTCCCCAAGGGAGACTTGTGGCATATACCAGTTGAATCTCCTTCAACCTGAGTCTACTATGTTTGGCGGCATCATTGGAAGTTATGGCTGCTGCGATTACAGTCTCACTTACAGGTGGTTCTGAAACGTGTGGTAAAAAGAAATCTTCCAAAGGGGCAGAGTTTAAGGAGATATATTTAGTTGCTCCCCTTGTGAAGAGGAGACACGTCCTGAGTTTAGATTTATATTGATTCATGTCCAATAGCTCAATGAGTTGACTGGTAGTAGGGGAACAGACAAGAATAAGACTGGAAAATTGGTGACAAAAAGGTCTGCAGGAGACATATGTGGATGGAATTCTAGGTACAGGTATTGAATGGGGTTTACAAATGCTTAAAGACAAGAGACATTAGAGGGAAGAGAATAAATGAGGTTGGGTATTTATTCTTTTGGCACTCTGTGCTGAGCCATGTAATGGCCATTACAATGTTTCTCTTCCTAAGGCCACACAGCTCTCCCAAGTGTGGCCTTTTCTGCCAAGGTCTGGTAATGTTACCTACCTTCATTATAGGCCTGGTGGTGATAATGATTCCCTACTGTCACTAGTTACACGATGCTTCACCCACCCTACCCGTGTTTTTAGAGACATGTTAGTAGACTCTCCTCAAGTGTCTCATTGTTCCTTGACAAGTGACACCTGTTTCTTCAGGGGACCCTGACTAATAGGTCCCCATGGATTCTAAACTCCATGAGGGTAGGGAATTTAATCTCTTTTATTTGATGTGATGCTTGCTATCCCAGCATCTAGAATAATGTCTATTGCAAGCGGGTTCTCAATAAATGTTGATTAAATGAACATATGTAGTGACTACTTTCTCTCCATTAGTAATTTTTACGTTAAAGTCTATTATGATTGATTTAATATAGTTTGACCAGCATTTTTGTGCTTTTATTTGTAATTCATGAAAGAATGACAAAGGATTATAAATGTCAGAAAAAAGCAAGCAAATTTGTCATTTTGTGCACAGAAATCCCAGATAATTAACATAAAAATTTGTTGAAACAGTAAGAGATTTCAGCAAGAAACAATGTTAACGTATGAAAACCAACAGCTTTCCTATACACATCTACACCGGGAGCCCCTGTCTCTACCCCCAGTAGAACCTCCACACTGGGCTCCAGGGGCGCTGGGACCAGGCCAGTGGCTGTAAAGGGTGGGGGTCCACTGGTTGAAAAATTATGAAATCATAATTTTACACCTATATAATTTCAATCCCAAATACTTCAGTCGTCACGCCTTCTTTTTTTTTTACAAAATAAATTTTCCTATATAACTCCAAAATTTTTTCACACTTCATCTAATTAAGAGTTATTTTAATATTTTCAATAACCAATCCATATTCAAGTTCCCCAAATTGTCTCTACACGACTTACGGAAAAAACGCTATTTCAATCAGGAGCCAATAGAGGACCACCTTTTGCATTTGGCGGCGGAAGTCACGTTTGATCCTCAAACTCTTCGGGCTCAGAGAGATCATTCCCCAGTCTCCTGAAAAGCGGAGGCGCCGAAAGAGTGACCCCAACAGTGACCGCCGGGGTCTATGGGAAATGTAGTCTTGCCTCCTTCTGGCTCCCCGCGCGGCACTCTGGGAAGGGGATTCCGGGCTCCCTCTGCGCATGTGCAGCCGTAGCCCCGCCTCCTTGCTCTTCTTCTCCGGACTTCTCGGGAGGCGTTAGGTACCTCAGAATCTCCTCAGAGAGTAGAGGGCGCGCCCGGGTTGAGAGTGAGGGGCAGCGCTGGGGGCGGGAGGTCTCGGGCCCCCGTCGCCCCCAGCGCCATGAATGCGCCCGGGCGGGTCCTCGGCGGGGCGGCCGGTGGGGGACCTCGGGCTCCCGGGGCGCAGGTGCGGCGGAGCCCGTCGGGAGCGGGGGCCGTGTGCCCGGCCCTCCTGCAGCCCGACCCGAGAGAAGCCCACGTCGGCGGCGGGAGGCCGGTTAAAACGCGGACGGGGCCCGAGTCTGCGGGGCAGCCGAGCTCCGGAGCCGGAAAGGCCCGGTCAGTCCCGGCTCTGTCACCTGTGAGCAGGGGCGACAGAAGGGCCTGGGTCAGCGTGCTCATGTGGTGTGGACGTGAGATTGATAGCGCCGTCTCACGGCGTCGTTTTGAGGTCCCAGTCATCGTTGTACAGTATTTAGACGAGGGCCGGGTAGGAAGCCCTGGGTAAGGGACAGCTGCTGCCGTAGTTGGAAGTCAGTTTGTTGGTGTCGCTGGATGGCCTGATGTGCCCTCACGACTGCTTCCCCAGCAGCCGAGGCTCAGGTCGGTGGCCCGATGTGCTCGGTCAGGAGGTCGCAGCGCAGGATTTGGGTTCAAGGGCAGGTGGCTTCCCTTCAGTCTCAGGCTTTGTCTGATGTCACACCTGCCCAAGACTGGCACTGCGGCCTTCCCAGCTCTTAGGAACATGGCCTGTCCCCACATCCCCAGGGATGTAAGGGAAGGGATGTGGATGGAATCCCAACATGTGTCACATGTACCCTGGGGTTTCTAGTGTCTCTTCAGGTCCCTTGGGTCAGACAGAGGGGCCTGGCCCCTTCTGCACTGACGGGATGTCCTTCAAGTCTGATATTGTAGTGAATTTCAAGAGTCAGGCTTTGGCCCCTAAAATGAATTTGTTTCCCAGATCCACTTCCCAGTTTCCTTGAACAAAGCAACCCTTGTGAGGCAGGAAGCAGGGGCCTCTGTGCAGGAGTCTTACCTGGAGGAGAGCACCCCTCTGACCTTCGACCTCTCTCCAGAGCTTCAGAGCAGAAACAGAAGAGCCCAGAAAGAGCAGGTCCTAGATTTGCACGGTCAGGAGCCGTTCTGATCCCCTTGCCCAGAATGAGCCAGACTTGATGATGATGCCACCTTCAGGAGCCACCACACTGTGTGACAGTGGGAGGTTTGTTTATCCCTGAGTAGAGCAGGTGAGCTGGGGTGGCCCAGGGGCAGGCTGCTCAGGAAAGGCTGCTTTGTTGGGGAGCTTGTGAGGGCGAGGTCCGGGGGACAGGGACAACCGGGCAGAGGGAAGAGGTTCTGGCTCTGGTCCCCTTAAATGGCCCCCGCTCTTTACAGAGGCTGTGCTGCTGTCAGACGTGTCTGCCACCACATGTGACATTAGTGACATCATCCTGACCTCGCAGGATCCCAGAATAATGATTCTTGAAGGATTTTCCAAAGTCGTCTACTTGCAGCTCTCTTGAAAACTTTAAAGACATTGGGCCTGAAAGTTTCAGTGACTTGTCCAGGGAAACCCGGTTTATGACAGAGTCAGAAGGAAAACTGCAGTTTCCTCTCAGATAAGTCACCAAAAGCATCTTATCAAAGGGGCCTTCTGAGGAATACATCCCAGCTGAAACGAACAAAAGTTCCTGCCTTCAAGCATCCCATCTCTTTTACTAGGCTTCCCGTGGATTGTCTCTACCAGGGGGTAAATAATATTACTGAGAAAAATAGATAAATGATGCACAGTGAGTATTTAATGAAAGAGTAATGTCTTATCCTTTGGTGTAGTTTAATTCAACTCATCTTTTGTTTTTATTTCCTTGTGTTAGTCAGAAGGACACATGCGTTACTATTAAATCAATCAAGAAAAGTTTATGTTCACTCAGTAAAAAACTGCAGATGGTCATTGCAGAGTCACACAAAGACAGGTGGTGCCGCCTGTCCATGATCCTCCTCGTGCCTTTTCAAGGCCCAGAGGGCCCTGTGTCTGGGGGAGGATGATCCCCAGCTGGGGTGCTGAGATGTGGGGAGGTGACTCTAGGAGCTGTGGCAGGTCAAATCTCAGGACCCCTGTCTTCTTTCTGTCCCCTCAGCTGAGCCACAGTTCTCTACACTCGCCCAGGAGCAACAGAAAATGAACATCCCTCAGGTGAGCGCTTTCTTCATTCCCTACTTTGTATTGTAAGGGATTTATAGGTTTAGAAGGATCCATGCATGAAATGGAAAAAGGACAAATAGAAATAGATCAAGTCAATCTTGAGGGAAAATATACCCTGCATGACTGTTAACTATGTTTGCTGTCAGCTTTTGTAGGTGACCTTGTCAGGGTAAGTAGGTTCCCTCCAGGTACCAGTTTGCTGAGATCATGTTAGTCATGACTGTGCAATGCATTATATTGATTCCCTTTGTGTATCTATTGGAATAAAGCTATAGCTTATTTCCTTCCATCTGTAGATACTGTAAACAGTACAATGGATTTTCTAATATGAACTTGAATTCCTGTACAGACCCTAGTTGCTGTGTGGTTAGTTGCTTCTTACATATTTTCCTAGGGCTTTTTGCTAATACTATATTTAGGATTTTTATTTCTGTATCCACAGGTTGGATTAGACTATAATTTCTTGTTTCCCTGTCTAATCATGATATCGAGGTCATAGTCTCATAAAAGGAAATGGGGCACTTTCCTGCTCCTTTTCTTTTCTAATAATTTAGGTCAGAAAATTGTATTACATATAAATTTTGGCCTTACGAAGACTTTTGCTTGAAGATTTTGATTATTGAATTAATTTATTAGTCATAAGCCTATACTGAATTTGTATTTTTTGTTAGTATAACTTTTGTCATTACATTTTCAAAGAAAATTTTTCGTATTTTTAAGTTTTTAAATGTATTTTCATAAGCTTATTGATAGTATTTTCTTAGAATTTTCAATTAGAATTAATAATTGCCCTTTTTGTTCAGCTTTTAAATTTTATTTTAGTATAAAGCTGCTAATCAGAAAAGGACAGAATATGTTCTAGTTGGCACAATCTGAAACCTAGAATTTTTGAGTCTGAGGGTCTTCATATTACACGCTGGCAGTGGACTCTAAACATCGGGAGTAGAGGAACGTGCCCTTGCCATATTGTGCTCTCTAGCTCTGCATAGCCCCCTGTCAGCACCTTTTGCTGACAAGACTATCCTTTCTCCATTGAATTACCTTGACACCTCTGTGGGAAGTCAACCGGCAGTGTATGTATGGTCTGTCTCGGACTCTCTTCACTTCTGATGATCTGTGTTAGTCCTCTTGTTAATACCATGCTGTCTCGATGCGTGTCTGTGTAGAGGAAGTCTTGAAATCAGGTAATGTGAGCCTTCTACCTTTGTTCTGTTTTTAAAATTGTTTTGGATATTCTAGGTCCTTTGCATCTTTATAGAAAGTTTTAAAAGTCAGCTCGTCTATCTCAAAAAAGCCTGCTGAGATTTTGATTTCTATTGCAGGATTCTATAGAATTTGTAGCATAGATCATTTGGGGGAGAATTAACATCTTGATCATAATGAGTCTTCCAGTTCATGAAAAATATCTCTCTCCATTTAGTTAGGTGATATGGAGGGTTTTGAGGGTTTGGGTTTTTATCCTTCTGAGTCAAAAGGATAGTTTTGACTTAGAGTTTAAAAGAATAACACTGTCTGCTGTTTGAAGATAGACTCTAGTGGGGCAGTGGTGGAAGCAGATACAGTGTTGGAGGCCATTTCTGTAATCCTAGCAAGAAATGGTGATCACAGGTGTTAGTTACTTTGAAGTGGTCAGGTTTTGGGTGTAATTGAGGGTAGAGCCAACAGTCTGAAACCGCTTGTTTCCTCCCCACAACCTTGCAAGTAGAGTGTGCATCAGACTTTGGGTTTTTACCAGTGTGAATTAGAACTGATCTCAGTTTAATTCTATACACTTTATTCTTCTCATGAGTGAGGCAGAACATTGTTTTTTGTTTGTAGTTCATGGTATTTCTTTGTTCTTGAGCTGTTTATCCCTTACCTGTTCTATTGATGTGCTGATTTTAATGACTGTATCCAGTATACCCTTACAGCCCTTTTTCTATGATATTAATTGCACAATTTTCCTACTGTTTTTTGTATTGTTACCTTGCTCAGGATTTTTTTTTGCCATAAAGGCATTTGATTTTTGTCAAATTTAGCAGTTTTTTTCTGATTCCTGGATTTTCAGTCAGAGTTGGACATTTCCCACTCTAGTGTTGTAAAATCATTGTTCTGTGTAGTCTTCTAGAATGTGATGTTATTTCTTGCATTTCATTTTATCCTGCTCTCTGGTGTGAGAAAGAGATCTGTCTTTTCCCAGGTGGCCTCCAGCTATCCCTGTGATATTAGTGTCCAGCCTTTCCTCACTCATTTGAATGACGTCACCTGTATTCAGATAGGAAGTTTACTCTGTTAACCGTTCTCACCACACACTTTATTCCGGCTCTTGTTCGCTTGAAGCTTGGATGTCGTTCTGGCTCTCATCAGTGCCCTGCTCCTCTGCCCACTTCTCTGTTTGCATTAGATTGTGGGCTAAATTGTCCTGGCTTTCTTATTCAATACGACCTTACCCTCTGTCTTCCAGAGTTTGTTCAAATTTTCGGGCCTTCTGCTGCAACGTTTCTCTGTAATCCTTTTCTGTCATACTTTCATAGTAAGTTTGTATTTTATCCGAGTGTGGTTTTGGAGGCAGGGGATGTAAATGTGTGTGCTCCATCTATTCCCTTGAACTAGGGGAATCATTTATGCTTCTAATTCTCTCTTCTCTTAATTTCCAGTAATCTAATATTTCTGATTTCTCTTTCCAACATTTAGAGATTCTGTGGCCTATTCTTTTTTTAATTGCCTGT